CCCTGCCCCTGCCCCTGCCCCTGCCCCTGCCCCTGCCCCTGCCCCTGCCCCTGCCCCTGCCCCTGCTCCTGTCCGAGACCCGCCATTGGCCCCTCTCTCTCACTGCCCCCCTCCCACAGAGCCGGCGGTGCCCTTCAAGAAGCGGCTGCAGGACCTGGAGGTGCGAGAGAAAGAATCTGCCACATTCCAGTGCGAGGTGGCTCAGCCAGCCACCGAGGCGGCGTGGTTCAAGGAGGAGACCCGGCTATGGGCCAGCGCCAAGTACGACATCGAGGAGGAGGGCACCGAGCGCCGGCTGACCGTGCGCAACGTCTCGGCAGACGACGACGCGGTGTACATCTGCGAGACCACAGAGGGCAGCCGCACGGTGGCAGAGCTCTCTGTTCAAGGCAGGCGTGCGAGGCGGGGCGAGGCGGGGCGGGCCGGGGCCAGGAGTGCAAACAAGTCTGGGTTCAGAGGTGGCAGGCCTCTCACCCAATGGGTACTGATGGCGTCAGTTGAGTATGGGCAAGAAGGCAGATATATGGGACTAAGTTGAGAGGGTCAGGGCAGAGGGGATCTGGGATGTGGGGTGAGGGTGGGGTCGAGTGGAGTGTGATGGGTCAGGTTGACAAGAGGGTGCCCTCCGGAATTGGGGGAAAGGTAGGTTGGGGTACAGCAGGTGGGGCAGATAGGGAAGAGGACAGGGTGCACAAACGGTGAGTCAGTAGGTGGGGAGGTTCTAGGGTGTGGAGGTGTGTAGTGGTCTGCGGCTGGGGAGAGTTGAGCCTGGCAGAGCTTAGAGGAGGCTAGGGTTAGGGTTAAGTCTGGTTCTGGACCGGTGAGGGATCAGAAGGTTGGACAGGTGAGTGTGTGTGTATATGTGTGTGTGTGTCAGAGTGAAGCAGGCAGGAGGATGGGCTTCATACATAGGAAGCTGTGTTGGAGGCCAAAAGAGTAGGGGGTGCACAAAAGGAGTATGGGGTACACAGGGGGCTTGTCTTACCATCTTGTCAATCTTCCCACTCTAGGAAACTTGACCAGAAAGCTGCCTCGGAAGACAGTAGTGCGTACTGGAGATACAGCCATCTTTTGGGTGGAGCTGGCTGTCCCCGAAGGCCCTGTCCGGTGGCTACGGAACCAGGAGGAGATGGTGGCAGGAGGCCGGGTTGCCATCACTGCAGAAGGCACTTGCCACACACTGACCATCTTTCAGTGCACCTTAGAGGACATGGGTGAGGTGGCCTTTGTGTCTGGTGGCTGCCGAACGACCACCCAATTCTGTGTATCAGGTAAGGGCTGGGAGGATGGTCTTTGGATGGCTTTCCCTGCAGGGACACAGCTGCACCCCTGTCCTCCCCTCATGCTGTAGGCGTCCCTTACCAGTGGCTGTCCAAGGGTGGCAGAAAATTGTTGCTGTGTGTCCTCCACACCGTGTTCCTCTCTTGACGAGGGGACTGTCCACTGCAACTGGGTGGCAGCAGGTCTGAAGAAAGGCTTCTGAGCCCACTGATGGTGGGTGGTACCATGCTGTCCACCAGAGCAGTGCCCAGGGGCGGGGGTGGGGGGGAGACTCAGGTTCCATCAGTCATTCTATCAGGCTGGGGGAGGGAGCTCTCAGCTGATGACTTTAACCTGTTTTCCACCTAGCACCCAGGAGGCCACCCCTGTACCCTCCTGCTGACCCTGTTGTAAAGGCCAAGTCCGAGAGTTCTGTGACCCTCAGCTGGTCCCCACCACCCCGTGGGGACCGCCCTGTCACTATTGATGGGTATGTGGTGGAGAAGAGGAAGCTGGGTGCCTATGCCTGGAGCAGGTGTCATGAGGCTGAATGGCTGGCCACAACTGAGTTTACTGTCACCGGTGTGGCTGAGGAAGGGGACTTCCAGTTCCGAGTGTCAGCCATCAATCACTTTGGCCAGAGTCCTTACCTTGAGTTTCCAGGGACCATGCACTTGGGTGAGTGAGACCATTCAGTAACATCACAGGGGGCTGCCACCTGTCCTTACCTGACCCCAAAGCACGAGTCTGTCTCCAGGGGAGCCGGGATGATCTAAAGGGGACTCTCTATGTGGGTTGGGAGATGTCAGAACCTCCTAAGATGTTGGGCATTCTAAGACAGTCCCACTGAGCCTGACTCTGTTCAGCGAGTCAGGCTTCAGCCACTCCATCTGTGTGGGGACAGGGAAGAGGAGGGGAAGACAAAGGCTGTGCTCTCATCTGTCCCCAACTCTTCCCTTAATGCTGCTCACTCTGCAGTCCCCATGCTGGCTGTAAAGACACCTCTGAAGGCGGTGGAGGCAGTGGAGGGTGGTGAGGTCACTTTCTCTGTGGACCTCACGGTGGCCTCTTCGGGCGAGTGGTTTCTGGATGGGGAGCCCTTGAAAGCTAGCAGTATATACGTGATCCGTTGTGACCGTACCCGGCATATGCTCACCATCAGAGAGGTGCCCGCCAGATTGCATGGGGCACAGCTGAAGTTTGTGGCTAACGGCATTGAAACCAGCATCCAAATGGTGGTCCGAGGTAGGCCTGAGTCCCAGAGTCCCATTTTTTTTTTTCTGCAGTGTGGTAGTGGGCAGGAGGGAAAGTCTCTAGAGAAGGTTTGTCTAGAGGTCATGTGATAAAGGGGGCAAGGCAGCTGGGTGCTTGGGGCTGTTCACCCCAGGCTGGCAGTTGAGGCTGGGTGTGTGTGTATGTGTATATGTGTGTCTCTGTGTGTGTATGCCTCTCTGTGTGTGTATGTCTCTGTGTGTGTGTCTGTGTGTGTGTATGTCTCTGTGTGTGTGTCTGTGTATGTCTCTGTGTGTGTGTCTGTGTGTATGTGTGTGTCTGTGTGTGTGTCTGTGTGTATATGTCTCTGTGTGTGTGTCTGTGTGTGTATATCTCTGTGTGTGTGTGTCTATGTGTGTGTGTCTGTGTGTGTATGTCTGTGTGTGTGTGTGTCTGTGTGTGTATGTCTCTCTGTGTGTGTCTGTGTGTCTGTGTAAGATGCCCTGTGGTTGGACCACATCTCTGACTGCCCCTTTTCTCATTCTCTCTTTTTTCTCTCTATCTCCTCTCTGTCTGCCTGTTTCTCTCTCATCCCCATGTTACTCCCCCATGCTGGCTTTTCCCATGCTCTCTGTCTTTTTACTGGCGCCCTGCACTCACCCGTCCCTTCTCTTCCTCACTCCTCCTTTTGCCCCGCTCTTCTCTGGCCTCCCACTGACTTGCTTTCCATGGCTGCTCCTTTGCTTCCAACTCACCCCTTTCCTGGGTCTCTTCCCTTTTGTCTCTCTTTTGCTACCCTCATATCCTCTCTCCTCTCCTTCACTGCCCATGACTCCTTTTGCCCACCTTCCTGTGGTCTTTTTGTTCCTGTCGACTTTTCTTAAACTATCCCCGACCTGTAGCAGCTCTGGTGCTGCCCAGCAGCAAGCTTCCTGCTGTGGCTGCCCGGGAGGTGCTGGCCCAGTTGCACGAGGAGGCACAGCTGCTGGCTGAGCTGTCGGACCAGGCTGCAGCTGTGACTTGGCTGAAGGATGGTCGGGAACTGTCCCTAGGGCACAAGTATGAGATGCAGGTATCAGCTGGAAAGCGAGCACTGCTGGTGCGAGACGTGGCACAGGATGACGCTGGCCTCTATGAGTGTGTCAGTCGTGGGAGCCGCATTGCCTACCAGTTGTTGGTGCAAGGTGAGTGCAGGTGGGCAGTGGGGCTGGCATTCTGTCCTTCTGCTGCACTGTGGTTCTGGATGTGTCCTCTTTGTCTTGTAGCTCCAGGCATGCTCTGAGGGGTTCTGGGCAGTGGGGTAGCTGTTTTCTGATGTGTGTGTATGCATGTGCGTGTGCACATATGTGCACACATTTGTGCGTGTGCTTCTGTGTGTGCATACATATGTGTACACACGTGTGTGTGTGTGCCTCTGCATGTTTGTTTTAGTGGTGGTGGGTAGTGGTAGTTCTATAGTAAGAAGGACTTCCTAGTTGTGGTGGAACCTCTCTGGTCTAGGCGAGTGTCGGCATTCCGTGTGGCCTAAGTCTGGGCAGCCGTATCCATAGTGTAGGCTTCATAGCTTTTCTTCACAGACAGAGCCGATGACTATATGGATAATGTGACTGGAGGCTCAGCTGGAGCTCAGGACCACATGTGCAAGTGTGCTGGGCAAAGACAGCAAGATGCTTGGGTCCCTCTTGCTACCACTTCTTGCAGTATGACAGGGGGATATGGCATTGGGTGGGGGCGGCTTTGGACACCAGGCAGGGCAAGGGTACCTCCTCCTGCTCCCTGCACGAAGATGCTGTAGACTTGCAGTGCTGGCAGAGATGCACACCACCCTTCAGGGGACTGGGGTTCCTCACACTGGATCATTGCGTGGGTGGGGTCCATATATATCTCCACAGATGAAAACCCTTTGCTGCCTTCCAGAGGCATGTGCTGCCATTTTCCACACAGGCTCTGAAAAGTTACAAATGCATATATTCCAGGCACCAGGATTCTTAGTAATATGCATGGCTGTAAGTTTGGCTGCATCCAAAAGCAAAAATCATGCCATGGCCAGTGTCCAGTTGGTAGAGAAAACAGGGAATGTGTTCAGGAATGGGACCTTCCTCTGCTCTGTGGAAAGTGTTTCTGAAGATGGGCAGATTAGGGAATGAGAGAACATTGTCTCTGCCTATGAGGGCTGGCCTGGTGATTCCTTGTGTCCCTTCCCTGCCAGTCTTTTCTGGCCAGTGAAGGGCTGGAGATCACATACTCAGGTTTAAGAAGAACCACAGCCAAGCAACAGGCCATGGAAGACTTTTGTGGCAGGAACTGGAGTTTCTCAGAGTCCAGATTTTGTTAATCAGAATCCAGAACTAAGGAGCTTGGTAGGATCCTCTGAATAAGTGTTCTTGTCTAACTGTCTCCAGAACCCAAGGTGGTATTTGCCAAGAAGCAGCAGGCACGCAGCGAGGTGAAGGCAGAGGAAGGGGCCAGTGCCACACTGAGCTGCGAGGTGGCCCAGGCCCAGACTAAGGTGACGTGGTTCAAGGATGGGAAGAAGCTGATCTCCAGCTCGAAGGTGCAAGTGGAGGCCTCAGGCTGCTCCAGAAGGCTGGTGGTGCAGCAGGCGGGCAAGGCGGATGCTGGGGAGTACAGCTGCGAGGCTGGGGGACAGAAGGTGTCCTTCCGTCTGGACGTCACAGGTCAGATATTTGACTATGTGATGGGACAAGCCTGGAAGAAATGTTTCAGTGTGGCCTGGGTGCTGGGTGTGTTGTACAGGTTTCTCGAGGGCACATATTGGCTAGTTCTCAACAAGTAACAAGTAATCCCAAACACAGAGGCACAAAGGAGCAGTATGCTTTTGTCTCCAAAGTCCATATGGTCTATACTGATGGCTCACCTATCCGGTGTGGTGTCACCAGGGCTGGGAATCCAAGCTGGACTTGTGCTTGCATTGATGTCTTCACTGAGATATCTTTGATGGAAGTGGCTGTACGGGATGAGAAGACTCTTATAGCGACTGACTTCCGTGCTGTGTTTGGAGCCTTTAGTCTCCCTTTGTGGTTCGTTTTGCTTCACAACAGCTTGTAGCCACGGTGGTGGTCTCCATGGAAGACTAGAGTGTTACCTCTGTTTGGGGTTTATTCAGAGCTGAGCGAAAGGCCCGCCTGGTCCCAAGAGCATAAAGAAGCAGACCCTGCTGTGGGTAACAGGGTGGTACATCCCATCATGAAGGGGTCTGGACACTGGGAGGCTGGGTCCTGGCGGAACCTTTTTGACCTTTTATCACAAAGTCAAGGCTTTCTTTTTTTCTGTGTCATCCTCTTATCTCTGCCTCATGTCACATAGGGCTTCCGTGCCCCCAGCTGTCACATTCAATGTTCAAAAGAGGAAGGATTGGGAATTAGAGCTCTCTCTGTCTCTGTCTCTGTCTCTGCCTGCCTCTGCTTCTCTCTCTCTCTCTCTCTCTCTCTCTCTCTCTC